TCCTTTAGTGGACTTTGCTATCTTAGGTACTACCAAAAGTCCAGAGTTTTGCGACCTTAGGGAGCGTGATGGATTGTAGCGTGGTAGAAGACTAGTTAGGTACGCAGGAGCTAAACCATTAAGGGCCTTGTAGGTAAGTAATAATATTTTGTAACTGATACGGAGCTTAATAGGTAGCCAGTGCAGAGACTGTAAAATTGGGGTAATATGATCATGTTTTCTTGACCTGGTAAGGACTCTAGCCGCTGCATTTTGGACCACCTGTGGCTTGTTTATTGAAGATGCAGGACAACCACCTGGCAGTGCATTACAATAGTCCAGTCTAGAGGTCATGAATGCATGAACTAGCTTTTCTGCATCAGAAACAGGTAACATGTTTCGTAACTTGGCAATGTTTCTAAGATGGAAGAATGCTGTTTTTGTAACATGGGAAATATGATTTTCAAAAGACAAGTTACTGTCTAATATAACAGCCAGATTTTTGACTGTAGAGGAAGTAACAGTACATCCATCTAGTTGCAAATTTTAATCCAAGAGATTCTATGTACTGTTTTTTGGTCCAATAAGTAATATCTCTGTCTTATCCGAATTTAATAGGAGAAAATTATTGGTCATCCAATCTTTTACATTTTAACACACTCTGTTAGCTTAAATAATTTAGAAGTTTCAGAAGTTTTAGAAGTAATAAGATTATCTCAAAATTATATAATGGATTTCTCCAAACTGTACCCGAAAACACATTTTATGTTAGAGACCAATGGAAAATAGAAGGGAATTTTAATGTCTCAGATGAGAATTGGGAGAAAATTTGTAAAACACAATGGAAATCTACAAGCTCAACCGTGTGAAGAGAATTTTGTTGGAAGAATGATATTAGGTTCTTTATTACACCATCACAGAAAAAACACCAAGGGAAGGGTACTAGCTGCTGGAGATTATGTGGGGGAAAGGAAGCTAACCACTACCATATTTTTGGGGGGTGTCAGAAACTAACCCCATATTGGCAAGAGATAAAAAGGTATCTGGAAGCTGTTTTTGAAGTAGAGATCGTTTTTAATTGTGAATCTCTATATTTTGGTAATATAAATTTAGATGGGTGGAACAATAAGGATAAGAAATTGTTGTTAATTCTTCTGGCGGCTAGTAAAAAAGTAATTACTAAAAAATGGCTAAAGCCAGAGTCACCCACAGTTGAAGAGTGGATTGATACAATACACATTATATATATGATGGAAAAACTATTGTTTTCATTAAGAACTCAGATAGAAGGTTTTTTTCAAATTTGGAATAAATGGATAGATTATATTAAACCGGTACGCCCAGATTTTTCTTGAATTGTAACAGTACTTTTAAGTTATCTTTTTTTATGAGTTGTAAGCAATAGCTCCCCATGTTCTTTTGTAAATAGTTGTTGTTAAGAGGAAGAAAATATAATGCGTATGTAACATTTGAGAAATTTGCTTTCAAGATTGAGGGCATACATACTCTGTATATACATGCTCTTCATAATAACATTAAGGTGTATGTATGTGTTTTCATTTATTTATTTATTTTTTCTTTCTTTCTGAGAAATTATGTATGTCCGGATCTCTGTATGTATTTTCCCTCTGAAAAGGAAAAAAAATAAAAAAATAAAAAAATAATTTTTTATATATATACAGTGGGTACGGAAAGTAGTGTTTGACGTTATAATTGTCTTTACTGTCACTTTTGATCAATTTACTGCATCTGTCATGAATAAAAGTATTTAAAAATTCTTACTGACCCTATACTTGGGTCAGTATCTATAAAATACACATGAAACCTCATAATTTAACAATAGTTAACATAATATAATCAAACTACTGACAATTTCACATAATATTTCTTCAAATTGTCCCAAAACACAAGTGACTTCTATTTTCTAAATTCACTATTTTCAATGCAATTACAATGAATGGGGATTGAGGTTTTTAATCTTCACAAAAAGTATGTAACAATATACATGAGATTAAGGCTTCAAGAGCTTTGTATGAGAAAAATGAAATTAAATGAACCCTTCTCTCACCATTATCACTCAAATTAAATGTGAAAAGTAATCTCTAATAATGTCTACAAATTGTGTTACTTTCAACACTGTTTAGATTAGATTACTGACAATATTGGAAAAACATTAAGTAACCCTTCCATCTCTGGTGAAGACTGAACAAATGTGCTTTTTTAATAGAAGAAATAAAACTTTAAATGTCAGTCCTTGTTTTGTGAACTCCCAGTCCTGCTCCCCCTCTCTCTGGTAATCACTGTAACTGCAGCTGATTCTCAGAATTCTTCCTGAAGAATTGCCAAAATTCTCTCTGGAACAATCTGAAAATCTGGACAATTTCTGGGACGCACAAAAACCTCCTGAGAGCCCATCAAAAAGCTATTTAACATTTGTCATAACAACACGAGGGTCAAAAGTAAGAGAAGGTAAGACAAACTGAAGTGTGTGTGCATAATTTATAGCAAGAACCAAAAAAAATGCTATATGAAGATATACAGAACATAACAGGTCTAATTTTTATAAAATAATTTTTTTTTACACTTTATCCTAAAATAAATATTTCCATTTATTT